TCAAACTTTGGGATTTTGCAATGCCAGTTACTGTGTGCAGCCTCACAGGGAGCTGAGGATGAAGCAAATGTTGTTGCTTCATGATCTTCTGAAAAGAGCTTGAAATCACAGCCTGTCCTGAAAGCAAGGAGAATGTGCTCAGCTCAACGTCACCACCAGCAGAGCCTAACTGAGGGCAGTATAACACTTCAAGTAAAAATATTTGTGTTCCTATTATGCCTTCCATCCAAGAACTTAATGGCTATTTGGTTCAGCTCAGTCCTGATGATTGATTTCTTCTGGATGCTGGGGTGAGAATTGTTTTAACAGTTTACAGATGGACAAATGAAACAGGGAGGTGTCCAATGCATTGTCCAGCACCGTGAGCTAAGCCAGTGGCAGAACAGTTGTATCCCTGTTTGATCCCAGCCAGGTTTAATCCTTTTTTTTTTATTATTCTGTAGCAATTTGACTTTTTCCCTAGCATGTGTACACTTCAATAACAGAATCACAGCCACAGGAAATGATGAGGCTGAAGACACTGATGAAGACCTTTCATCAGTGTTTATCCTTCTCGTTCTAAATCTGGAATAGTCCTTATTACAATAATTCCAGTTCTATGAGATATATTAGCTTTGCAGTGTTGGTGCTGCTTCTGTGCCTCTGCATTTAACAGTTTTCCAAATAATTTACTCAAGCTCACAAGTTTTAAGAGCTTTTCCAGGATGAAAGAGAAGGGAAAGGAATATGCTCACCCAGAGTGTTTTCTCTGTCTCTCTTTTGTCTACCATTAATTAGGAAGGGTTTCAAGTGATAAAACCAGCTTGTTGTTATAAGTCATCCACATGCTAAATTAAAATGGGCAAACTGACATGGCAGTTAAACCCTCAAAGCCTGAAATCAATCAATAAAATCTATGGAAAATTACTCTGAGCAAATTAACATCCTTTAATACATAAATGCAAATTTTTTTTCCACATCTCTGCACAAAAGCTAGTCAGAAATTTCCAGTGCATCCTAATCTCATCCCAAGAAAGGCACCATACACTCTCCTCTTTCCACCTGCACTTCACAGAAGTCCATAACTCTGGAGTGGAGATGCTGGGGTAAAGCAGCTGAATGAAGTTTGTGTTGTGTCCTCATTTTCTGGTAGATTTTCCCCAAAACATCTTTTTGACTCTTTCTTTAAGTGTGACCATTCCAACCCCAGTGAATATGCGCAGAGAGGACAGCTGGGTGCACACAGCTTTGAGGAGCAGAGCTGGTGTATCAGAGAGGTTTGCAGAGCAATGGAACTTAATGGTTTCTGGGGGCTGAGGACAAACACCAATCCATCTTTCTATGTACTCTTGCAAGCACTCAGCATTAATATCTGAGGGCCTTTTAGTGCCACTGAAGAATTTATTCTCACAACACCACTGGGAGAAGGAATTTCATGGCTTTAGTTTCAGTATCAGAAGGAATTTGAGAAACTGAGCCATAGAGCTGTTGCTTTCCACTCAGCTCCTGTCTGTGGGTATTGTCAGAAGATTACCAGATGAGATAAATGAACTAGAGAGTGTCCCAAGAATTCTATTCCCTTCCTATGCATCGGTGTTTTGAGAGGTTTAAAGACTTTGAATGTATATAATTGTTTCAGATTTGGGCTAAGTCACCCCAGATAGGTAAGTGCAACAGGCCAACAAACTGAAGGGCTGGGAGTGTTTTTAATTGAATGGTCAAAATCTGTCACTTTGCTGAAGGAGAAAAAAATCTGAGGTTGTGAAATGCAGGAGTTCATTTCTCTGCCAATAAAGCTCTGGAATGGGATTTCTAGATGTTTCCTATCAATAAATTGTTCTAATAAAATGTTGTCTTTACGCAAATTGAAATTTTCTGCAGGAAAATACTGACTTTGCGGAGTTGCCCCCTCCCCTTGGGAAAATTTAAACAGGGCTTCCTGGCTTCCTGCTGGGAAGATTTTTGCCAATTTTATTTTCTGCCTGAAGGGAGAAAAACAAATTGATGCATGTTTTCCAACAGCCAGCAGAGCTGGGAGGAGGAAGGAAAGGCCAATTGCCCTGGCTGTCTGCCTGCCACACAGCGTGGTCACCTCTGCCCATTGGGCTGGGCGGGAGAAACAGAGGCAGGGGTCCTGGAGGGCTGCTCTCCAAACCCTACCCAAAATCCTACTGCCAGTTTCAATGAATTCTAACCTATTAAAAAAAATTACTTTTGAGAAGTCTACAATACCTTGGCAGCTGGAATTCCAGCAGCTGGAATTCCATCAGATAAGCAATATTTGATTAATATTGGACAGTAGGAGGAGACAAAATGGGATAGTATGGACATATTGGAAAAGCACTCACAAGAGCAACTCATGGATTTGCAATATTCCAGCATGGCTTGCCAATGCTGCATTAAAATATTGCCTTAAAAGCAATTCCCTAGATCTAGTGCATGATAAGCTGATGAGCAACCCCCTCCTCCATTCCAGATACCTCCTTCAATGATTTTTCCACCCATCTCCTCTATCGTCAGTGTCTTGAGCAAGGTTGGTTCAAACAAATTTAAAGCAGGGATAAGTATTGCCAATTTAAATCATGGGTTTTCCAGTCTGTCCCTGGCACAGGCCCCAGGGCAGGGGTCTCTTGCAGAAACAGGTCATCTTCCCCTCTAGGTGAGAAGAATCAGGTGAGTTGTGGCAAGGAAAAGGCAGGATAAGGACAGAAACGGGAAGAAAGCAAAAGGTTTGCAGAGCAAGGAAGGCATTGAAGATTTTGCATTTCTCTTCTCATTGTACTTTACTCCAAACCCTTCCACAACCTTCCTGGAAGAGGGGGAAGGGCAGGGGCTGATTTGCATCTTATGTTACTGCTGACAGTAGGAGGTCTTAATTGGGGCACCAAAGAGCAGGTGTATGCTAACGTTAATCTTCCCTTTCACCTGTCACTCATGCAATGAATGTGATCTCTCCCTCTCATTAGCAGCCCTCTGTCACATGCCAGGGAGCTTTGGAAGGGTCCCTCTGAAACTTGTTGGGATTGATTTTCCTGCCCATGCTGGGTTATTATTGCCAGACCCCGGACAACCGCTCCCAGGGAACGCATCTGCCCAGTGGAGGTGCGGATAAGCATTGCCTAATGGACTCAAATTATGTGTGCCTTGTGGAAAAATGATCAGGAATTCGTGTATTGGACTGATGATAAACAGATAGAGATGGGCTCGTTTTGAAAATAACGCATTGTGCGCTCGAGTGTTGCAGAGATGAACTTAGGAGGAAAGTTAATTTAGCAAAGATACTCAATTTGGTGTTATCTCCAAATGTTGGTTCCTGGAATCATTACTCACTCTGGAGTCAGGCAAAACTTCCCTGGATTTCAAGGACTGCAGCTGGAGCCAAGAGGAAATTGGCCTGGGAGAGGATGAAATAGTAACTCTAGAATTTGGACCTCCATCTCTCGTTGTTCACCTATCACAGCAACAACAGCCTAATCCTTTGCTTGAGCAATGCAGAGTATTAGGAGACAGCTCTGAGCAGCCAAGAGCAGCTAAACCTGCTTTGCTTTGCTCTTTGTGCACCCTGAACTCTGTGTCTTGTGAAGAACCTTCTGTCAGGACAGTGATCTCTGCCTCCCAGCCACGCATTTCTCACAAAGAGAAGAGGAAAAAGGAAAATCACCTCGCAAAGAATTTATCTGAGCTTTTCACATTCTTCTAGTGCTGCTCTGGAACACGTTCCACTCTGGTTCACCCAGAGGTGAAATAAATAATTATCTTTGGGGGAAAAAATTCACATGGTTGAAAGTATTATATTCTGAGAGCAACAGTTTGTTGGCTGTGAGTGGGATCCGGGGGGATGAGCATCAGCTGCAGCCTGGGCTCTGAGTCACAGCACAGTCCCGTGGGAATCACAGCTGCTCCAGGGCTCCAGTGTTGGTTATTTCCTTTAGGATGATGATGGCTGGCGTCTTCTTTTATCATTCCTCTCTGTTGTTGGGAGGTGGCTTTCTTTATCATCAGATTCCTTCCAAAAGCAGTAATTCTGTGATTTAATAGGATGGAAACCAAGAAATAAACGGGGCTGACACATTACATTAGTAATGTAATTCTAACTCATAATCTGTATTTTCCTTGCTGAGGTTGGGTCATGGTATGAGACATTTCTCTTTTCTGAGATTAGGGGAAAAAAACCCCCTGTAATATCTAATTGTGTAGCCCTTTTTGAGATAAAATACTCAATATTCAGCTCTCCTGTAGAGGGAAACAAGGACTTTTAGAGGAAGAAACAATATTCACTTTTAGAAGAACCAGTATTCAAATAAGTGTGGTAAAAATTATGATGTTCACCCTGCTCTCATTGTAATTTCTCCTCTGGACAATGGAAAGCATTTTATCTTAAATTCACAACCCCTTTATTGTCTGTCTTTTAGTGAATTTTAAAAATTGAATTCTTCAATTCCTGTATTTACCTAGTGTCCTAGAATCAAACAATTGCCAAAACCATAAGAAACAAGCACAGAATCAGGAGGAATAACATGATTGATTTTAAACACATGAATGTTACAGACTTCATAACCTGGCAAAGTGGGACAGGGAAGCACCAGACTCAATGAGATGTGCTTTGCCATGATGCTGGATGGGGAATCTAAAATCTCTGTTATTCCAGTCCGTGAATGTGTTGTCTTGAAATGTACAAGCTGCAATTAAGAGCTATTGGATAATAACTATGCCATGAAAATGTCCTAAACTATTAAAGAGCTGAAGATGATAGTGTGCTTTTAATATTTCACATAAACCATTTGGGATTTGAAGAACTTTCAGTGCTCGTGATGAAGTTGGAATATATCCTTGCTTGGGTTAAAGGGAAGGAAGAGAAAAAGCCCTGAATTAAATTTTTGAGCTCAACACTCTCTATTTTTCTACATGTTGCTCAGTTCTAAACAGGGAAAATATAATCAGCTTTGTTCATGAGCATATGCTTTTGACTTTTTTTCTTCTTGGAGCCTGTGAATTATTAATAAACTAATTTCTCTTTATAGTTCAATCTTTGGAGACTTAAAGTGCTCACTCAAATGCACTGAACAAGAGGAATGCTTCAGCTCCAATCAGCTCCCATCTTCTTTGGAAATGCTGGCCTTGAGGTATCTTTGAGTCTTTGAAATCAATCTTTAATTCAGCCGGGAATTTCTGATGGCTTGGAGGTCTGGTCTGTTAATTCTGCCTAATGCCCTGTTTAAGTTTGGGGCATTTCTACCAGATGATTTTCTGCTTTTACTTTGCTGAAGGACTAAGAGCATCCCCTTCTCCCTTCACTACACCCCTGTTCCTTTGTCTCCAAGTGGAAACAAAAATGCTTGTTGGGCTTAACAAATAAATGGGGGGGTAGGATGATCAATACCCAAAAAGTGGCACCTAGGTGAGATCTCGTGGAGCTTTCAAAGCCAGGTTTACACAACTTGATCTGTAGGATCAGCAGTGCAGGTGTCAGAGAGATCCTTGTGCTGTTTTGAAGCCTTTCATCACTCCTGCCTCACCTGAGGGTTTCTCATTCTTGGTTTATCAGTTGCAATACCTGAGGGAGGGGGGAGTGGGAAATGAGGGGAAAGGAGGCCAGGGCAAAACCCTAAAGTCCTGTGTCCACCAGGATGTGAACAGCCTGCAACAACTGGGCTGTCCAGTTTTGTCTGCTGTCCTCTGGATCATTTGGACCAAGATTTGGATTACAGAATGCGTGTGTAACATCTTCCATAGAGGGATAACATGAACCAGAAATTACAAGACTGAGAGCCTTTTTATTTAAAAATTGTGATTTCTTTTCCCCCAGAGCCTGGGCTGAGAGCTGGACAAGCTCATTTCAGTTGTGATCCTGTGAAACAAAGGCTCTCAATGATAAAGCAACATTGTTTGGTCTTTCCATTCTCATGCTTCTAAAAAAAGCTACCAATGACTGAAAAAGGTCCACATGAAATTTAAAAATAGGCTGAGGGACCGGGTTACAAGTCACTGAGCTCCATGTGGTCAAATAAAAACAACTATAGCAAAAAATTGCTGTGCTAACTTAAGCTGTACAACAGAATTTCATTTACCCAAAATATTTAACTAATGAAAACCACATTAAGGCAGTGGCCTTCATTAACAAAAATGTCCTGAGCAGAGGTGACTTCCCAGTTAAAACTTTTTTGGGAAAAAAAAATCTGACTCCTTAAAGAAAATGTAAAACAAAACAGTTAAAGAAAAAACATCTGTATTTCTCTAATGTCTGATCTGTCTCTCTTCCTCAGTTCTTACTTCTGGGATGATTTGGAGGCTCTTGATGTCCTTGGTGGTGGGATAAATCTGGAGAAGCTCCACTGGATGCAGAGCTTGGTGCTGGCTCTGAGCTCTGGTCGTGCACACCCATGGTGTGAGCAAGGCTGGTGGTGGCACACAGGGGCACAGCAGGGTTTTCTGCACAGGATTTATTTTCCAGCTCTCTCTGAGCAGCTCTGCAAGGCTGGGAAAACACGCCCAAACCTGGGAAAACACACCCAAATCTGGGAAAAAACACATCCAGACCTAGGAAAGGGAAATGTTTCACTCTGCTGGTGCACAGAGGGATCCCCAGCAAGGGACAAAAACAATTTGATTCCAGCTTCCCATTGAGGTGGATGGGATTTGTGTACCTCAGCCCATGAAGGTCTTTGGGAAATTCCAGCCATGAAGGTTAATTATAAGCCTTTAATTAATCAGGCATTCACTGTGGGCTGAAGTGGTCTGGCTGTCTGAGCTCTGGCAGGTCCTTAATTAACACCACCGGGGGCTGGGGAATGGGGTGACTTTGAGGCAGCTGCAGGTCTCCACTGAAGGCTGGAATGGTGAAGGCTGGAATGCTCGGGATGAGGGCTGGAGATGCTGCCAGGGGGCCAGGGTTGAGCACTGGGATGGGGACAGTGATTTGTGCCATCCACGTCTGGTGCAGTCAGTGAATGAGTCCCATTGGGCTCCCCGAGGTGAACAGGAAAAAAAAATTGAGGGTTTCATTATTCCTTATGCATGAAAAATTAGAATAAATTGGTAACTGGAATTAAAAATCCAATCTGGCTGGCTTACTTGGTGAAGCTTTTTAAAACAGGCCTCTTAATTTAAAATTGCCTAAAAATTTGGGTAGCAGTAAATGATGTCTCTGAACTTTTCTTTTTTTTTTTTTCATAAATATAAAGTAATTTTTTAACTACACAAGAATTTATCATCTCCTGGGGTTCCCTGGCCAGTTAAATTCTCTAACATGGCTGGTGTTCTGGAGGTACCTGGTGCAGAGAGAGTCTTGTCTCTCTGCAGAATATGGGAATATGGCCTGAGAGAGAACTTCTGGCCTCCCTGAAACCGAAGGCAAAGTAACATTAACTTCAAGGGATCTGGGATTTCTCTCAAATAATATCATTAGCAATGCTTCAGTGGTCTTTAACTTAATAAAAACAAAATGGCAGCATTAGACAGAGATGCTTATGAGGGAGGAAAAAAGCCATTTTGTTTCTCCCAAAATTATAGGAACTCTATGTTTTTTTTTCTTCAGACATACCCTGCATTTCTTCTAAGAGGCAAAAATACGATGTGGGAAAAAATAACTTTCACTTGATGCACTAAAATATTTTTAACTATCCAAATGATGGAAGCTGCATCCACGAGAAAACCAGAGAGGACTCCTAAAACACTATGAAACCAACAGAAAAAAAAATAAAAAATAAAAATCTCCATTCCTGGAGGACGCCTGTTTCTTTAAGCAGCTGTTTCTTGTCTCTGAGGTAACAAAGTTGTCATGTGATGCATCTGTTACCATGGCAATAATCTGTAATTGTGCAGAAAATCCACCAAAGTAGCGTGCAAGTCCTTGGTGAATTGGACGGAGAGAAAAATCACCCCTGTGCAAGCCTTGAATTGATGCTGTTGTGCAACTGCCTTGGCCAAGGCAGCCCAGCTTCACCTCCAATGAATTTTCCTTATTTCTTCGCTCTGTTTCTGGTGTCCAGTGCTTGCCTGGTGTTTAAACACCCTCCCCACTCCTGCCCTCACAGATGGTGGCTCGTGGGCATCTTTTCCACCCTCCCCAGCCACAATCAGGGCCTTTTACAGAAAGGATCTGGAAACTGCTGCTGTTTTGGCCAAAGGTGCAAAGCCTGTGACTTTTAAGCCATTTTTTCCAAGCACAGGTGGTAAAATGGCATTAAATATTGCTGCAATTGCCATGGGAAAGGTGTTCCCATGTTTATTTTATCTCTCTCTCCCAAAGGGGCGGCCCCCAACATCTCCATTGGCTCTGCCTCCATCGGGATGTGTCGTTTCACCAGCACCTTGGGAACAGCTCCCACGCACCCTCATGTGCAGCAGTATTTGTATTTATATACAATATATAAATTTAAATAAATCTTCTGCTAGCAGGCCGAGTTCAGAATCCTTTAAAACCCACTGAAAATAGAAACACAGAAGGATGGGAAGATGAAATCTGCAGAAGTTTCTGCCCTGCATTAGTCATAAAATAAACTGCTGGAATTTAGAAAGAAAATCCTTGAGCATTTTGAGTCATCTGCTCATTATATCATTGGGCTAAAAGTGCTTGCTACTCTCCAAATCAAAACGCCAGGGAAATCTCATGAGAATATGCCTCATGGGCAAATCCCAAAAGGAGAACATCTGGATTTAAGATGCCATTGCCCTGTACTTAACCCTAAGCCACTGAGAAAAATGACTATTCTCCCTCTCTCACTCTCTCTGTGTTATTAGTAAATATTTATACTACACAAGCACCCAAAGGCCTCAAATGAGAGTTGACTTCCATCTTGAGGCTCATGCAGGCCTAACAGAGAGAGGAGCCCCCTCTGCTCTGCAGGGCTTGCTCGCTGTTTGTTTTTCCTCTCAGCTATAGTGAGATGAGCTGCACCATGCCCAGCAACTGAGTTATTGGAATTAGATGACACCCTCATTTCTTTCAAAGGGGGGAAAAAGAGTGTGTTTGTTAAGTGGGGTCAGTTCAGCTGAGGCAGCTTGGAATCAGTGAAAACTCTTTTGTGCCCACACCAGCAGTGCCACCTTTAGCTTTGCCTACCCAGGCTCTGATATAGCCTCTGCACCCTGAGTTAAAAACATGAATCTGCTTTGTCTTCCCTTGTAGTGTAGGTGTTAATTAGACTGATGTGGATGATTTAATACCATTCACACTGATATTCAAGCCTAAAACCAGACCTTCTCAGAACCCAACATTTGCAGAGAGTAAACTGAAATTCCCTCCCCCCATACAAGTCCCTGCCTGTCTTTTGAGGCTACACAGGTGCCTCAGGCTGAACCTAGGCTGAAAGGACCTTACAGAAAGTCATTTGCTCTCCTGTGTCCTGCAGCTGAACCCAGCCCCACTGAGTGGGTGACCTGAGATCTGCCTTTTTCCATCTGGTTTTGAAAGAGGGATTCTGACATTTGAGTTGTGGGAGCCTCATTCAACCATAACCTGAGTCTTCTGCAACCATCTCTGAAGGGGAGGGTTATGACCCCAGTGTAAACTAGATGGAGCTTCCAAAAATCCATAGGACCTTTGCTCCATACAAACTTCCCCACAAACTTTTGCTTGGTGGTTTCTGGTGAGATGGAAACAACCCAGTAACACCCTGAGTGAATCTCCCCATTGCTGGAGATGTTCCATAGCTGTGCACTCCTCAACATACCTGACATGGGGAAAACAGAATTAGCAGAATTAACTGAAGCAGGGCCTGGCCTGTGCTTTCTTCAAGTTCTGGGAAGAGCAGAAGGGATGTGGTTCCCTTAGTAGTGGAGCTTTGTTTTTGTTTAGGAATAGCGTAAGTGCTGCCTGAGTATTATCTCTACCTGTTGTCCCTAAATTCCTCCTTCCCTGGGGAAGCTGAAGAAGAGGTAAGGGGATGGTGTGTCTACGTGCTGAATTTGGGAGGACTCCAAGGGAAAAGGTTGATTTGGAACAACACATGGCTGGGTCTTCTTGGGCTTCTCATCCGGGCTCTGCCCTGAGGATCTGCTGCTCCTCTCCCATCTTTTGCAACTTTCCTGTTGGACATGCTGGCTTTTCACGTCTGGAAAGAGCCCCCTGGAGATGACTCACCACACTCCCCCTGCCCTGTGAGGCAGGAAAGCTGGT